TCAAACTAAAAGTAATTTTACAATCTTGGTTGCCATAAACTAGCAATCCCAGTGGTTCGACTTACCCGTCCAATAGTCCTATTTTACAATGATTTGTGCTATTGCAAAGGGTTGATTATTATTGTGATAGTCGACGAGACCGATCAATTTTTGGCTCCGTTGCCGGGGATTGCAAACGATTTTGTAACCAAGGTTGAAGGATTAACTTTGGTTTGATTGTTAATATTGTTTCTTGTGAATATTTTCTTGTTTGGTTTTGACTATTGTTGTGTTTTAAGTATTCTAGTGAGATTCTAGGTACTCAAGGCTTGCCGTGGGAAAACTGAAAATATCATAAGTTTAGAGGACTTCAGGTAAGTTTTCGAAGTTCTAGTTTCAAAATTGTGAATATCTTGTATGTGGTTAAATTAGAGATATTTAATTATGGAGCCCTTGTCGAGGCTATTTCTGTTTTATTATTTTGCAAAGCATCACTCCTTGTCATGGCCATTTATTTTCTGTCTTTTTTATAATTGAGGAGAAAGGGAACATCGTATGTGGAGGTTATGGTGATGAATTGTTGTGCTTGTTGTGAAGTGTGTTGTTGATGTTTGGTCGTAGGTCATTATCTTTACCAACTCTTGAATCTCCCATTGACATAAATTCGCTTGAAAGGACTGTTAGAAGAAACCTTAGGGAATCTACAAACATAAGAGGAATTGAACTTGAATTTAATACAATGGTTGGTAATGAAGAAAATGTCAGGAATGAGGGAATCAATAATAATAGGGCCAAAATTCCAAATGTAGTTTCTATGACTCTTAGGGACCATTTCATCCCTACAACTTATACCTCTCCTTCTTGCATAGTGATGCCAAACATCAAGGCAGCCCAATATGAGATCAAATCTAGCACAATTCAAATGCTTCCATCCTTTCATGGCTTTGAAAATAAAGACCCCTATAAGCATCTTGATGAATTCCTTGAAATATGTTCTACTATCAAGCTGAGGGGCTTCCCTAAAAATGCTCTCCATTTGCATCTTTTCCCATTCGTCTTAAAAGAAATATTGGTTGAACTCCCTTGCTCCAAATTCCATCACTACATGGGCTCAATTGCAGCAAGAATTCTTAAAAAAATACTATCCTATGAGTAAGACCAACCAAATGAGGCGTTCTATTATTAGTTTTGCACAAATCGATGGGGAATAACTCTATGAGACTTGGGAAAGACTTCAAGACCTCCTTAAGAAATGTCCGCACCACCTAATTCCAAAATGGCAATTGGTGCCAGCTTTCTATGCTGGTTTAACCGACCCCCATAGATTCATGGTTGACTTATCATATGGATGGATGTTCATGTCTAAAAATGCGGATGAGGCGTAGACCTTACTCGAGAATTTGAGTGAAAACTCATTGCAGCATAATTCTTGTAATGCTCCAACCTCAACCAATGCAAAGAACACCAATCTATGTCAACCAAAGACACTGAGGGAAGAATCGTCTCAAGTGAATGCCATAGCTCACAAATTCTATCAATTAATGGCACCACATCTCTCTCCTACCTTGTCTCAAAATTCGGCAAGTGCAGTGTGTGCATCATGCACTAGCCCTTTCCATCTCTCAGAAGATTGCCCACACCGGAGCAATTTCCTAGTAAAAATCAAGAGCAAGCAAATGCTATGTTTTTCAGGCCCGAAAATGACCCGTATTCCAATACATATAATCCGGGATAGAGAGATCATTCGAATTTTTCGTGGAGGTAACCCGCGCCACAAAATTCAAATTTTCAAAATCAAGGGCATCAAAATCAGCTCTCTTTTCAATTTCCAAATAGGCAATTTTAGGCCTCTTCAAGTTACCATCCACCCTATAATCCAAATGCTTCTACTCCACCTCCTGTGTTTCCAACTGATGAGATTTTGGCTGCAAACAAGCAAATGATGGAATCCTTTAACAAGTAAATTTTGGAATCCAACAAACAACTCTTGACATCATTGCAGCCCACTTTCCAAATGGTTCATTCACATACCCAGTCAATAGCTAAACTTGAGAATTAAGTGGAACAAATAGCTAATTCAGTGAACCAACTTCTTCAAAGAGAAAAGGGAAAACTTCCTGCTCAACCATTTGAGAATCCTAGAGGGATGCATGTGATTGATGAAGCCCCTCCTCCGAGTGGACCTACTCATGAACAAGTTCAAGCAATCACTACCCTTTGAAGTAGTCAAATTGTAGACAACAAGGTTGATGGAGGAAAAAATGAACAACTTCTTTCTCCCCAAAATCCAAATCCTAGCTCATCTAATCCAAATTTCACTCCTGAAAATCCAAAGTCTAGCACTGAAAATTCCAAGCTTGTGACCCCAAATATGGAGACTTCTTATGAGCCTAAGGCTCCGTTTCCTCAATGTCTCCAAGAGTCGACACATTTTGGGAATAAAAGTTGTAAAATTCAGGACATGTGGGAAGTCTTTAGGCAAGTAAAGATCAACCTTCTGCTCCTGAATGCTATCAAGCAAATCCCTCCCTTTGCAAAATTTCTCAAAGATTTGTGTACTAAAAAACGCACTTCCAAGAATCATTTACCAAAGAAGGTAAGACTAACTGAAAATGTGAGTGCGATCATTCAGCACAGCACTCCTCCAAAGTATAAGGATCCAGGGGCCCCAATAATCTCGTGTGTCATTGGTAACCACAAGATAGAAAGGGCCCTCCTTGACTTAGGAGCAAGTGTGAACTTGATTCCATATTTAGTTTATTTACAACTTGGGTTGGGTGATCTTAAACCAACTCCGATAGTGTTACAACTTGCTGATAGATCTATTAAGCGATTAGGTTTAAATAAATTAGTACCTTCTTTAATCCCAACAAGAGCAGTCACCACAGCCTTTAAATGATTAGATTGTTTACTGTTTTTTTTACCCTACTTCCTCTAGGCAACAAATTCTCCTTCCTTTATTAAGTGATAACTAGGGATTCTTATTTTATGTCTTGGAAAACGAATTTCTATATTATATTAATGATTACATTTAGATTCATCATATTTTAAAAAAATTGATCTTTCTATAATCAATCATACACATATGCTCTAATAAGGAAATAAGTTTTGCAAATCTATGCATATAACTTCACTAAGAAATTAATATATCCAAGTTACGAATATATATAAAATTACAAAGCAAGATTAACTTGCCTTGGTGGGGAAAATCCTCATGGAGTCTTTCTTCCTTCTCTTTTGTTCATGGCCGGAACCAAGATTTCTCTTCCTTGAGACCTTAGCCGATCCATTTTTGTTTTCCATTTCTGTCTATAAACAAAAAATAAAAAATAAATAAATAAATAAATAAGATGTGTAACAAAGCTAACCCAAACAAACACTGAGTATATAAGGGCAAAAGGTCCAAACACTATCTCATTGTTCACATTCCTACTCCTCACTCAACCCGCCATAGTTTTACTAGCTGATTCTAAAATTTCGGTTGCATAGAACGTAAATCCATTCAGCCCACCAAATTGTTGAAACACCATTAGCCCAACTCCTACCTGCACCAATTTTTGAATTTTATAGAGATTAAATAAGTCGTAAAAGGAAAACAAGGCACATTAATTCAGGATTCTTCTGTTGGGCTTACAATGACTGAATATTTGGAAGTAATTGTAGGATTAAGTTTTGTAAATATTCTTAAAGGCTCCAGAGTGAAAGGGCTAACTAGAATTGGTTGTATTTTTTTCCTTTAAAAGTTTTTTTTTTTCTTTATCACTCCTTATGGACTTGTTTTATAAATAATTTGTAGAATGAAATCTTTAAAAAGAACTTTTATGTAAATATTAGACTACTTGTTTCTTATCTTTGTGTTGAATTAGTTATTTTTCATATTTTGTTGTATTTGCTTTGGGTCTCAGACCAGTATTGTTCCATGTCCGTCTTTTCTCTACATTTATCTATATAGATGGAACAAAAGGAAAGATGTGGTGATGAAGAAGGTTTAAAATTACATTTGATTAAAGGGGGAGCTAGGGTATTATTGATGATAGTGACGATATATGTGTATGTGTGTATGTATATAAGCGCACATACATGTAGAGAAGGATCTGGAATTGTAATGATGTTCATATATTTGCATGTGGAACTCATCTTTTGGGAAAAAAACTAGGTGCAACTATTCTTTGCTATCAACATTCTTAGCTTATTGTCCATATTAATTTGGAGGAAAAGAAAAAGAAATGTAATCTGGAACATTATTTTTTTAGCGTTCCTTTAATTTCCAGCATTTTGTCTGTAAATGAAGTGGGTGTGAATATTTTGAAGCTTTAGAGATTGTATGAAAGTTCGAAGGGATGTACAACTATATTTTCACATTGTGTGATGCACTGCTATTTCAGAACACTTGGCTTTCATCATTACCAATGTGTTATCTAATTACTTTTCTGTTCAGCTATTTCTGGATTCCTGTTTTATCATTCATTTCATTAGATTTGTCTGAATGTTTCATAGTAGTATGTCATGGTAGTTCAAACTTTTTTTTTTTTTTGGCAGGAAAACATAAAAGAACTTCAAAAAAGTTACTCTGACTCGTCTATTGGCAGTTCCAATGATTTGTTCTCCATTGTGAGGGGAGAAGAGAGAATTGGTCGTGTGCGGATGCTTGGCTTTGAGCCTACACCAAGCGATGTTTGGGGCCCTCTTCTAGTAAAGCTGAACTGATTAATAATGCCAAAAAATCTAATAAGGAGGCACATGCTGCATGCGTAGAGTTATAGGAGACCATTTCAAAAATGCAAGCCGACTATGACAACAAGTTGGAAAATTTACGAGCCAACTATGACGACAAGTTGGAAAATTTACAACAACAGGTGGCTATGCTAATGCAGATGCAACAACAAAATTGTAGTGGAAAGGTATATTTATTATTAGTTTTACTCTTTACTAAATATATGTTTACTTATGCCAAGATTTAATGTATTTTGTTTTGTTATTTTGACGGGTTCTGATTCTTTAAATGCTCCTCCTAGAGTATCATTCATTTTCTAGTCGTGATGCCAATTCAGTTAAGGTTATGAGCTTTTAATTTCTGTTATATATATGTTAAATTTTCATTTATTATAATGTGCGCTTAATGAATTTATAAAAAATGTAGGGTAATTAAAATCAAATGGGCAAGAAGACTTGTTGAAGTTGAAGATGGGGTCGTGGCTGTGCTTTCTGAATTTCCTTCGCCTTGGATGGGTTCTTTTTGAAAAACTTGTACTACATTTGTGATAAGTGCTTAAATGTTGCACATTTCAGCACCTAAGCTAGGGTATTTCAGTCTTTACATCTATCTTAATTTCATGTTTTAGTCCTAATTTATGTTTATGTGTATTTCAAGGCAATAAAGTTAAAATGAGCTAAGAACGGTCCATTAAAGCCTTTTTGGAGTCAAGTAAAGATATTCAGAAAAAGTTCAGAAAATGACAAAAAGAGGTCGTAGCCCATTGCTCGTATAATGTGTTTATTCTTCGAAAGTGGTCAATCTTGGGCCTTTGACTATGTTCCCAAAGATGAAGAAGCAAATCAATTAGTCCGGGGCCAAAATGGAGCTAAATAAGGCTTAAATGAAATTTCCAACTCTGGGGGGATCGATCCCCGAGGACTTGGCAACATTACAGATTTTTCTTATTGTTTGGGCTTATTTTGTGAACTATTGGGCTTTAATAGGGTTATTACTTAAGGCCCAGTGAGCCATTAGTTTAGGGTTAGTTTTTATTTTATTTAGGAGAGAGTTTTATTATTTTATTATTAAGTTTTATTAGGAAGTTTTATTTTTTTCTGTACTGTGATATTACGTTCTCTCTAGGGAAAAGGGAAAAGCTAGGGTTTGAAGAATATTTTTACAGAGGCTTTGTCTACAATTGAAGGAAGAAGAAGAAGGAGCCAAAAGATGGAGATGGAGCTTGTTGACACCATGATCATCTTCTCCATGAGCTAGTTCTTCACTTAGGGCTTGGATAAGCCCTAAGTTCATGTAACCCTAACCTTTGTTTTTATTTTCTTAGGGAATTATTATGTTGTAATTAAATATATGGCCTTGTGATTTATATATATATACATGCTTGATTTGACAAATTAGGGCTTGTATTGATTAATTCTTCCATTGAAATCTCCAAGTTGATTGTATGTCTATATATGATTAATTAGGGATTTTATTCTTCATTAGATGATTGAAAATTAATTCTTTCATTGATTCTATATGAAAATTGCATGTCTATGTGTGATTGATTTAGAATTATACTTTACACTAGATACTTCTTTTAGTTGTGTTTAGTGATGGCCATAGCATGAGACTTAGTTGATACAATTGTCAATTAATTTGATGGATAAAGGCTTAATTTTGATAGGTTGTTCTACAAATTAGCTTATTGTCATTAGGTAATTGTAGTAAAGTAGTCAATTTGTGCTTGATTATGTTAATCCATACTTCTAATTACAATTAGTATTATCCTCTTGATTGATGTGTGCTTTTATCGGATACATTTGTGAATGTGTATGGTGGGTTATGACGTAGTCTTGAATGGGTTCTACACTTTAGTTTAATTGTCATTAGGTAGACAATTCATTCTTGATGTTGATAATCTATGCTTATAATTGTGATTTGTGATAATAATGTGACCACATCTATAATTACACTAATGAATTCCCCATTAATTGAAAGCATATGGTTAATTGCATGGGCTTAGTGGTGAATCCTAACCCTAAGACTCTCTTCATATCTCTTTAATTCTTAGTTTAATTTAATTTAATTTACTTGCATTGTCATTTCTATTTCATGCTTTCGATTTCTAGTTTAATCACTTCACCAAAAATCTTTTTCTCTCTCTCTATCTCTCTCTCTCTCTCTCTCTTGTGCAATCTCATTAGCACTAAAATCAAGTTTAATCCCAACACGTGTTCAATCTCTTGGGTTCGATCCCTACTCACTATATACTTCAGAGTATAAGTGTCTAGCGGTTTTATAAATTATAAAATATGATGCCCACTTGACATTAATTCTAAACCTAAAGTGTTGTGCATTATTTTATGCACACGCTCAGGTCGCATCAATTTGTCAAAAATTCTTAATTATTTTTGTGTGACATTTAGTAGTTTTATCTAGACAATTTGGATGGTATATTAGCAGGTTAACTTGTGGTTGTATTATGTAAAAACAATTTGGATGGTATTTTTATATTGACTTGTGTGTTATATTCGATGACATTTAGTAGCCGGAAAGATATTTTTTTCCAAAAACAATAAGGGGAAAAAAAAAAAAAATTAAATAACCCCTTACCAGCGCTCTTTAGCACTGCCATTTTAGGGGGGTGGGGGGAGGAAAAAAAATTAAAATGACCTTCTTGGGGAGGGGGGTGGGAGGAAAAAAAATTAAAATGACCCTTTACCAGCCAGAATTGTTGTAGTGTTTGTATATTAGTTTGATTGATTTGAATGTTTGATTCTGTGTGTAGTTATTTTCTTGTCCTATTTTATTCTTGATTATGTGCATATTTGGTCACATCCCAAGATCCCACAGATTATAATTGAGTTCTCTAAAATTTTAAAAGAAATATAATTTGCATCTTGGAACTGCTATTCTTAAAAGTTAATATGATAGATGGAGTGAGTAATTACAATTTACAATCTTAAATTTCTTCTTTTTTTCCCTTAAATAATCTATTTCTTTTTAAAATAGTTATGCAGACAAAAATTGATCAATTATGTAAAAGAAAATCAGAGTTGACATCTCATAATATGTAACGCCCCGAATTTTTTCTAAATAAAATCCTCGATTTCATTAAATCAAAATACTTCATAAAAGACACCCAGGATCTCAAAAGAAATAAAATACCCTTTAATGATACAAAATCAATCAAATTTCCTCAAATAAATAAAACAATATCTCAAATTAATTAAATTGATACTAAATCAATTCCTCAAAAATGAATGTACAAAATTCTCTAAATAATTGAATAAAATCCTCAACACCAACTCTTCCACCTAAGCCCGCAGCTATCAATCCAAGCTCATCCTTAGTACCTGAAATTGTAGGGGGTGAGACGGGGGAAGTCCCAGTAGGAATACCATAACAAGGATTTTAAGAAGTTTTATGCAAAATTAGTTCCATAAAAATATACATATATATTTAAACAAAATAAATATTTACAATTTTAGTAAAATATCATTCAATAAAATAATTGAAACAAATCATCCAAGCCATTCAAGGTTTATCATGATAAACCCTACCTGTAAAATAAATAAATCATTAGTCAGATAATCAAAAAAGCCTCAAAGCTCTCTGCCTCTGTGCAAACTCTCGGCACTCTCTTCAATATTGCTTTCATTCTGTATCCTTACCAAACAGATACAATATATAGGTAATTTCCATGTACACAATTTACACAACACACCATAAAATTTTATCACTTTTGGCCACAAATATCTAATGGGTCCCGCGAATACAATTGTATATTACCTTTTCAATTTTGCTTTCTCTCTCTATGTCGGTTGGTCTCTTCTTTCTCCTTCCACTTCTATCTTATCCCAATTTATCTTTCCTTTCCTTATCTGATTCATTGCATTCTTTAAACCATCAATACAATCTCTCAAAACCCACGTGAGGCAAAACAACCCACAAGTGGGCCCGCCAAAAATCAGCATTATGATTTCCATTTTCAACTCTCTAAACTCGGCTGGTGCATCTTCTTTGCATGATACACCAAAAAAATATATATATAAATTATATATATACAAAATAAACAATTCCAACCCATCATTTATCTTCAAGTGAGACCCACTATTTATCATCACATTCCATTATCTTATTCCATCAGATTATATATATATATCTAATATATATACAATGCATACACTTTTGTAACAAATATCAAACCCACCAACTTTTCTCTCTCTTCCAATTTCTTTTCTTTTCCTTTTTTTTTTCCCACACTTTCATTGTCGGTAGATGCTATATATATATATATATATATATAAATCCAGAAAAAAGACCAACCAACCATGAATATCATCTAATGGGGCCCGTAACTACCAATTATTTCTCCTTCCATTTCGACTGTGACATTCAGCCCAATTGCCTTCTTCTTCTGATGTTATATATATATATATATATATATATATATATATATATATATATAACCTAACCTTTAATTGATAAATCGCCATAATAAATCTCCAATGGATAAGCCTTAAATCATAGTTAATCAAATTAATTATAACAACAAAAATCAAACCCATTAAATCATTTAAGTGGGTAAATCATCAATTTAAAATTTAAATAATCAATCTCTAACAACTAAAATTTATGAGATAAAAATAATTTAAATTCTTGAAAAATCCGGGTTGTTACATAATGATAGTTTAAAGCAAACCCATATAGATATTAACTTGGAGGATCTTCCAGCAGATACAGGACTACGAGCTCGAATAATGGATTACCATCCTAATATTCGAGACGAACTTCGTAGAACATATTATCTCAAAGGCCCTTGTCAGCCTAAGACTCATAAATTTCCTTATAGGAATTTCGGGAAAGGGTTACGTCGTTTCAACCCTACTTGGTTTAGCGAATATTCTAATTGGCTAAAATATAGCATGGCCAAAGATGCGGCATTTTGCCTATGATGCTTCCTTTTCAAGCCAGATATTGGGGAACAATCCAGAGGTGACTCCTTTGTTGGTGAGGGGTTTTCAAATTGGAAGAAGAGAGACAAACTCAAAGTTCATGTTGGAGATCCGAATAGTGCCCACAACCAAGCTTATAGATCTTGTGAAGCTTTGGTGAACCAAAAATAACACATTCAAACAATTTTTTTCAAACAGTCAGACCAAGCTAGAATTGAATATTGAACTCGTTTGATTGCATCAGTTGAATGCATCCTATATCTTTTACAACAAGGACTTGCATTTCGTGGCCACGATGAAGCTAATGATTCAAACAATCAAGGGAACTTTCTTACACTTTTGAGATTTCATGCTCGTTACAATAAGGATGTTAAAGCCATCGTATTGGAAAATGCTCCTGCAAATATGAAATTAACGTCACCCGAGATTCAAAAAGAAATTATTAATTCCATTGCAACAGAGATCATCAATTTTATTATTAGAGATATTGGAGATGCATTTTTCTCTATTTTAATTGATGAGTCTTGTGATGTATCAATAAAGAAGCAAATGGCTATTGTGTTACGTTATGTGAAGAATAGGAGTATCATTGAGCACTTTATTGGTATGGTACATGTTACAGATACAGCTGCTTTCTCACTTAAGGCAGCGATTGATAATGTATTTTCTACACATGGATTAAGCATTTCCAGATTGCGTGGGCAAGGATATGATGGGGCTAGCAATATGTAAGGCGAGTTCAATGGCCTCAAAATGCTTATTCTGAAAGAGAATGAATTTGCATTTTTTGTTTATTGCTTTGCTCACCAACTTCAGTTGGCTCTTGTTGCTGTGGCAATAAATCATGGTCAGATTTTCACTTTTTTCTTATCTGGTACTAATGTGGTGAATATAGTTGGAGCCTTATGTAAATGTCGTGATATGCTTCGAGAGAAACAAATTGCAAAAGTTATTGAAAGACTTAACAATGGCGAGCTTTCAAGTGGGCAAGGCTTAAATAAGAGTACTTCTCTTATATATGCAGGAAACACTCGTTGGGGCTCACATTATGGTACTTTAATGAGCTTAATTACAATGTTCTCATCTGTAATTGATGTTCTTGAGATTATCAAAATGGATGGATTTAGATCCGATCAAAGAGGTGAAGCTACTATTCTACTTGGGACAATACAATCCTTTAATTTCGTATTCAGTCTCCATTTGATGAAGGCAGTGTAGGAAATGACAAATGAATTATCAAAAGCACTACAAAGAAAAGATCAAGATATCATGAATGCTATGTGTTTAGTCAAAGTATGCAAACAACGACTACAAATGATGAGGGATGATAGATGGTATTCTTTACTCGAAGAAGTTTCTTCATTTTGTGAGAGACATGGAATTGATGGTCCCAACATGAATGACATTTTCTTGGCTCAAGGTCAACAACGACGGAATGTGAAAGAAATGACAAA